CATTGACTTGGAGTTCCAAGGGTCATATTGGATATCAATGCAGCATTGCCAGATGTGAGATACAGCTAATTTTAACAATGATTTTCTTCAAAAATAACGCAATGGGGCTGTAGAAAGCACGGTGTTCGAGGGCAGGGAGCGAGGTGTTGCTCTGGGGAAGGGAAAAGATATGAACTTAATCAGTCAAGTGTTGTGGCAGGGAGGACGGTGGGGCGCTGCCATCAAGTCTGTCAACCCGGCCAGGAGAACTGTGACGCCAGCAGTAAATACACTAGGGAGAAGAAGGTCTTACAGAGCTTCCTTCCCAGGTGTCCACAGAGGTCTCCATACCACCTTCGTCAGGATGAGCGAGCAGAACGGTATCCCGGAGGCGTCCTCAGTGCCTACAGCTGGCATTATCAGTAAGCAAATCGATAGCTTCATGTTTATCTGTTATTCCCCAAACTTTTTGTTAGAAGGGTTTCTGTAGTATGTAAAAAAAAAAAAAAAAAAAGAAAAAAATATAAGTTCACTCAGGGCCAATAATTGTTCTCTAATCCTAGCAGTAGTAAGGTACAACATTTGCTTCGTTTATTTTTGGGAGGGTAATTTTTTCACACAGCCATCCAATCTTACAATCATTATTCCTTCTTTCAATTATCAATGCTGTAATTCGCGTGAATGTTATTTTCCATCGGAAACCCCATTCGATCTCAGTATTTCCTTTTCAGGGGCTCCTCCCCTGGACCCCCACTTAATTACCGTGGACACTCTCAGTGTGGCATTTGTCATGACCTATTTATCTAATTTCTGATGGTATTTTTGGCTTACACAGATTTCATGTTTTTCTCTTCAGTTATTATAGTGCCATTACATTTTCCAGTAAATGTATACCAAAGTACATATTAACAACTTTCTTATTAGTAACTTACAAAGGTAATGCCCTAGATGAAAAATGTCTTATTTTCAATCATTCTATCCATTAGGGCATATTACCTTTTTATGATAAAAGTATCAGATGTTATATGTGGAGGAACCTCTACTCAGATGAAAGAACAATGCAACAGCTCTCTTACATATTTCTTAGATAATTGCTTTGTTTGTGGACATATCAGTTTAGATTATTGTACCTTCAGCATATACAATGCAAAGCATGTGTATGTGTTGGAATTGAATACCTGTCAAACTCAATAAGGTATACTGAGGTTTAAAATTCGCATATTCTAAAATTTAGGCTGAGTTAGGCACAATTGTATTGTAGAAATAAGTAATATATATTACAACTAACAATAATGTCTCACTAAAATTTTGAAGATTATCCAGACAAATGTTCATTTGATCAAGGATTGCAAACACACAGTCCTGCAGCTGAAGACACAGAGCTCATTTCTGACATTATTTATTCCCTGGTGGACAAAGTGAGAGACATAGAACAATTATGTAATACCATGCACAAATATCATGATAGCAGAAAGATGAAACTAACAATAATGTATGAAATCAACAAGAAACTTAGATTTGCTCAGGGTATAAGCATAACGCTGGCAAGGCTGTGCCATGATCAACAATTACTAATATTTTACTTAGTTTCAGTTATAGTGCTTTCTTCCTCAAAACTAGTTTTTAGTGCTATTGGAAAGATTATTGTCAAATTTTCTATTTCTGTTGAAATATGGGGTATCGGGGTACTTGGCATAGTTGTATGATGTGTGATAATTAGTAAAATGCATGGATAGGCTTTTTTAAGTTTAGTGTCTTTCTTGAATTTTTCATTCTACAGCATATGCAATGGTATTTATAGAATCCACAAATACCTTGATGCAAAGTTCTTCCACAAGGTTATTAAGACTCTTTGGTCTTTTCTGGGATGATTTTTCTCCATGAAGGGACATTTTGCATAGTGTGACCAATCCCACTCTAGCTGACAGACACAATTGTGGCTGTTTAGGGATCCCTTGACAAACAAGACCATAGTGACTGCTGCTTAAGTGGTTGGATGATTTTTCTTCAGGTAGTAGTATGAAAAGTTAAAGTATGGCACTGTTTATACCCACATCTTTCTTTTACTTGCATGATGAACTCATTATATGATGTATTTTAAAAAGACAGCCACTATGGCTTTTAAAATGGGCCATGCCATATAATCATAAGTTCAGTATAACAGTAGTACAGTGGCAAGAGATTGCTGTAGTCTGGATGCCTCAATCTAGCAAGGATTTGAAACCTTACATTAAGTATATCATGGCATGCTTTATATTCCTGGAACATACTTTTTGGAAGATTTGTACCTTTGTCAAACTTCTGATAGTCACAAAGGCAGATGTCCTGTAATAGCTTCTAAACATTTTCCTATCTAATGCTTGACTTTAATTCTTACTATATCTTCTTAAAAAATCAGTTTTCTTATCTGTGAGAGTTTTCTGTATAACTTGTCTGGGGTCCAAAATATAATTCATAAAATAAAACTGTAAAACAATTGCCAGTAGTTAACCAGTCATTTTCAGTTCTCATGATTACACCCAGTGGTTATGTAAATTGTCAGTTTTAATATTAAACGTTAGTTTAGAATGTGATATGTTTTTTTATTAGTTTACATTTTTTTCCTATATTTTTTGCATACATTGCATATCCTTACTATGCCTGTGGAATGTGCCATTACCCTTTTTGATCCTACCCAAAAGAGAGAGAGTGAGTGAGTGAGTGTCAAGTCATTATAGTAGTACTGTATTCATGGATTTTTTTGACAATTTCAGTAATTGGTGATGAGATCTTGAAAGGCCAAACTCGTGATACAAACACCCACTTTCTATCAAAGCATCTACATAGTTATGGTGTAAAAGTTCAAAGGGTGAGTTGAAGAGTCACTTCATATTTTATATACAGTATTAGAGACAGGCTGCTGTATTCTCCATGATATGTTCATATTTATTCCTAAGGATAGCTTTTGTTATTAAATGACTAAATAATGAATAAATCAGTGCATAGATGCATTAATTAAAGCTATGACAAGCTCTTTTACTAATTACATATCGAACACCATTCATGAGGTACAGAACTTCATTTCTGCTATTGTGCTATTAACTAGAAATAATCAATTCATTATTTTTTGTGAACAGTTATTCAGTTTTTTGTTCTCTCTGACAAAGAGCTAACATTTAATACTTGCCAAAAGATAGAAAAGGTTTCCTATAAGAAAATTTCAAATTTTCAGGTTTCTGTGATACCAGATGATGTTCCAACCATAGCAAAAGAAGTAGCCCAATTTTCCAAGGCATACACATTTGTCCTAACATCAGGTGGCATTGGTCCCACACATGATGACCTTACATTTGAGGGTAAGAATTGTTTCCTTTTTTCTTCTACTTCTTGCACATAATTGTTTTCTTTGGAATTTATGAATTTAGTTTGCTTTCTGTTTTTGCATTAGATATTATTGAAGAATTTACATGTGTTGTGTTATTTTTGTTTCAGTCTTAGTTTTTTATAAGATTGATTATTGACTGTGTAAAAGTTTTTGAATCAGATCTGATTTATATAAACATAGATTTGTGCGTGTAAGCAACAGGTTTTTAGTTTGTATGTCAGTTCTATTGATTTCTACAATTTTCTGTATTATCAGAGGGTACAATCCCTGTCTGTGAGAATATCTTCAGAACTGTCAGCAGACTTTTTCATATCTCATAGGCATAAATGGTTCTATACACCAGCAGTATGTAAAAGAAAATTAATTATCATTGATAAAATTTGATATGCTTTTGTATTTACATAATCTTTGTTAAATGGCAATGTCCGGGTAAGACAAAGCTCAATATTTTCTCCATCATGTATTTGCAGGAGTTGCAGCTGCTTTTGAAGAGAAAGTCCACCCACACCCATTGTTAGTCAAGCTTATAAGCGGGTTTTTCAAAACTGATGATCTCAGCTCTCCAGCTATGAAGATGGCTCACGTAGGGTGAAAGATGGAACTGATAAGTTTCTAGTACTTATTCATGTAGTAAAGGAATGGTTATTGTCTTAAATGAATCTTGAAATATGAGTTTGATTTTGTAAGTAGATATTTGAAATGACCCTCATAGTTTGTATTTTATTGAATCATAATCTTGATATGAATATGTATAAAAAATTCTATTGTGTTCTTTTATTGACCAACAGATTCCTGAGAGTGCAGAGCTTCACTTTGGAGAGGATAAATCAAAGGGTGTTAAATCACGTTACCCAATAATTTCAGTGAAGAATGTGACAATATTTCCTGGAGTTCCACACCTGCTTGAGAGAGCCTTTGCATTACTTGGAGAGGTAATATTTTATGACACATTATTTCTGGTTATACTTTTCATTCAGTTTGTTGCAGAACACAGTTTAATTTCATCAGTGTATATTATTTATGGAACATCATATAGTATGCAGAATACTTTGCACATGTATATAGATCAGTAAAGTATGTAGTTACAGTTTACTGTATAGTACATTGTTTTGTAGCTGGCTTCTTTCAGGTGTCAGTATTTATTTATGTTTCATTTTTACTTGCAGAAACTATTCCACAGGCCTGGCATGGGTTTTAAAGTCCATCGTGTGTTCCTTACTGCTGATGAAGTCAGTATTGCAACATATTTAAATGACACTGTTGCCAAATATCCATCTGTGTCTTTTGGTTCATATCCCAAGTTATTTCATAGGTTAGTATGGAGGTGTGGTTCATGTATTTCTTTGATGCTGTAGATTAGCCACATTTACAGTTTAAAAATTAAAATAATTTTGCTATATGATATATAAGGTAGATAACACTAGTTCAAGACAAAATATTTTTGTTTTGGTATCTAACATTTTTAGCATGTTGATTAAGTGTTTCCATTATAGAGATAACATCTCCTTTCACAATAAGCTTAACACCTCTCATATTTGACTGTGACAGAGAAACAAGCAAGCACAGATATACATTAAGGTACACAGGCTTTTGGCAGTGAATTATAAAACTAAGTAACAGGCCAGCCTAGACATTGTATAAAAAATGTGATAACAGTTTGTTCTGAGATAAGATTTGAAGAAAAGAGTCTTTATTTTTTGTTACTCCCAGGCAGGACTCTGAAGGAAAACTTTGTCAGGAATATAGTATGAACAGGTGGGATTATTTATTATCAATACCTTTTGTTTGCACACTTGGCTGAAGATGGGTTACCACACAGATTACAATGAAAGTAACTATATTTCACATCTTGTAACACATTTGATTTAACTTCTTACTTAAAAGCACCACCTTTGAATTATACCTTAAGGTTTGACATGCAGGAGCAAATGGAGCTTGGAAATATTCTGTTCATATGATTCTTGTATATTTAGTATGTGGTAGCTATCATTATTTCCCTGCTCTTTACACAAATGGTGGTCCTTACCTTCACACAACTATTCAATACTTTCTTTGCGACACAGATGACACAAACATGAGTTTGGTGATATGAAGGAGCCCCACAAAAGCTTATGATTTTCCTGCAGTCAACCAGCCATTTTAGTTGTAGAGATGAGAGTACTCCAATAAGAAGTTATATTAATATTTACTATTTTTTAACACTTAACCAAACACAGAACATCATTTATGCTACTTCTCCAGTGCTACACTGCTGTAATTTACCTGACTGCTTCAGGGTGTCTGGTTTATAAATTCATATTTTGCAAAAAACAGAAATAAGACACTTCAGACATAACTGGCGCTGAGTCGACTATCTTAGTGCTTTTCTTATATAAGATGCTTATGCAGGATATCACTAGTAGGCAAATGATTTCTTTGTTTAGCAATAGATGAACAGTATTGTTTCTGATTTTTATCATTTCCATTCCCTATCCATTTCATGTTTCCTTTTATACATACAGTGAACATATTTATTTGAAGAATGTAGAATAGATTCTTGATTTCTTTTTATCACCATAATTTTGCTTCAAGTGCAAAGTCATCAATTAATTTTTGGTGGGAAAGTTGTCAGTCCAGGCCTGAAAATAAATATTAGGAAATAGTGCAAAAATGCATTTTTAAATTTCCAGTTAACATGTCTCTTTTGGAAGGCATTAGAGCTCTACAGTATCAAAATATTTATAGCATTTCTCTTTAGAATTCTGTCAAAGAATTTTGTCAAAGAACACATTTTTTCTTTCATACAACTAAATCTCTAATTGTGACAGTTAAGATGGAAAATGTACAGCAATCTAGACAAAAGCCATAGTGTATGCAGATAATTTTTAAAGTATTAGTTTCTTCATTCTTTGTTTCAGTCCTTTTCCTTTTCTCTTCCTTTTTTTCTTTTTTTTTTTTTTTTTTTTCTTTGGCTTTTTTTCAGGGTTGTCTCTAACTCTACAGTTGTCCACAGTGTTTTGAGCTGCAATACTATCTTTGCTTGGCATTCAACTTCCCACACTCTTGATCACTTTTATAGCATGGAGCACAAAGGCATATTAAAATTGTGGGTTAGATCAAGTTCTCTTCATCACCTGATAATTGATAGTAATATATTAACATATCATCTGTGTAGATATTTTCAAAAGCTTTGGTAATACTCTTAAAATTTGTAATTGCTGGTATAAGTTCCTAACTTCATTCCAGCATTCATTGTAATAAGTATATTTAGAAACTGGATATTGCTTATTGGTTATAAAACATTTTATTTAAGAGGAAAATTGATGAATAACTTCACTAATCTGTTTATAATTTTACATGTCTTTTTCAACAGTTACTACAAAACTAAGATTACTATGGAGTCACTAGATGAGGAAATATTACAGGAGGCTGAACAGTATTTCAAAAGCCAACTTGAAGAAGGTATGTTTTGGATATTCTTGAAATATTTAGATAGAAAAATGTAGTATTACTTTAGAATTTGGAAATGTTGCTAAGATTATAAAAGTAATCGTATGTATATGCATTTTCGTTATTTATATTTTCCATTTCAGCCTTTTTTAAATGTTCAGCAGAATGATATATTTAAGGTTACCACAATGTTTACCAAACGGTTTCTTCACTAGGAACAGTGATTGACTACATGGAAGACACTGTCACTTCACCTTGGGACTACATTGATAATCTTTCTGTACTAAATCCTTCTCTGGAAGCACCACTTCAAGAAGCACTGGATATCTTAAACCAATGTTTTGACAGATACAGGTACTGGAAATCTTGTAAAATGCATAGTATTTTTGTGTAGGATGATTAGTAATAAGATGATTAATTACACATTCTTGGGTTGAATTTGAGACACTCACTGCACAGATATTGCTTATGCAGGTTCACCCTCACTTGTCCAACAAGCATAGGACAACACAGGAACTGGCATAGAAGATTTCTGAATCAGTTAAGCTTAGGGTAAAAGAGGCAAATATGCATATACTATATCATGTTACCAATTACTGGGCCTCTTTTAGACGAAGCTTTGGTCCAGTCTTGCAAGCTATTAACTGCCTGATTCAAATCCCTGTCCTGAATTTTCAAGCTTCTAAACTAGTGAGGCTCAGACAACACTTTTTCACAGTTTGAGTTATCATTCCCTTGTTCTTTCCAGCCCTGAGGAAATCTGTATTTGTTATAATGGCGGGAAAGATTGTCTAGTTGTACTACATTTGGCATATGCTTTAATGCAGAAGAAGTATCCCAAGAACAAGCTTCAAGCTGTTTACATAACTGAACCCAAAGCTTTTCCACAAGTCACAGAATTTGTACAACATTCTGTAAATAGGTAAGTTATCAGAGTTGAAGATGATTATAATAACAAGTTAATTAAATATTTATTTTTGTATTTCCTCTCTTCTTAAATTTTCTATCAATTGATATATTGGTATTTCTTTACCAGGTATGACTTGGATTGTGATATTATACCAGGGCCCATGAAGGCAGCTTTAGCAAAGGTCCTGGAAAATAGACCAAAGATCAAAGCAATGATTATGGGCACTCGTCGTAGTGATCCATACTCTGGTGAGCTGTTCTGTTTCTATTCTGTTAGAGATTGTTTTGGGGTTATTTTCTGTTTTATTTAATCTCTGTATATATGTCACAATTGTTGTTTCTGTACAGATAATTGACTTATTTTTTCCAGTACTCACACACCTCAGTTGAAGGGCATGTTTGCTTGTTTTTCAGATGAATTGGACTTTTTCTCTCCAACGGATAAGGATTGGCCAGCAATGATGCGAGTTAATCCTATTCTCAATTGGAAATATAGTAATGTGTGGGATTTCATCCGAGGCCTTTATCTTCCTTACTGTCCTTTGTATGACAGAGGGTAAGAATCAAGTGAAAATAATTTTGTAGTATGATTTGAACAGTGTTGTAAATTATACAGTAATACATGTCGTGGGCTAAATTTATGCAAACGACAAATAGTGATAGAAGTTATATTATACTTATAATGGCTCATTGGAATAATGAGGAAGTTGTATACAATTTTTTCTATTTGCTATCAGTTATTTTTATTCTGTTATTACACACCAGGTATACATCTCTAGGAAGCCAAGACAACACATTACCCAATCCTTTGTTGGAGACGAGAGATCGCATTGGCCAAGTTGTCTACCTTCCTGCATATACCCTCAAAGAAGAGGACATGGAACGTAAAGGTCGCATCTCCAGTAAACACTGAAAAATTTTGCATGATAATGATACCAGTATTTGTATTTTCATATGAAATTTTTACACATGACTGTTACTTGAGGTTAAATTTCTCTATGGATATTTCTACCATTTCAAATTTACATGAACTTAAAGTGGACTTTGTTTTTTTTATCATTATTATTTTTTTTAATGCACTTTTTTATCTCCTTTCATTCTTCCCACTTTTTATAATGATATATTCCAATTTCTATTTCAAGGCTACCTTTCAAGAGCTCTGACAAAAGATAGTTACTTTATACCTTAAACTTAGAAAGCACCCAGTTAAGTGGCACGTATATTTAGGATTTTAAAAATATGCATATGCCATTTTATTAGTAGAATTATGACAACCCCTTCTGTCTTTTCAAAACCAATTGTCTTAATTCAGTTGGTGGCTGTTTGTAGTATTGAGATTTAGGATTGTTGTTTTTTCATGAATCAAGTAAATCACAGTTATGCTGTAAAAAGTAAAAAAGCATTGTCATGGAACATTTAGAGATTGCAGATAAAAATACCCAAAGTTTAGCTATTACATTAATGCTCCAAGTAATGTTTTACTTTTATAGTCTTACTCTGAAAAAGCTATAATAGCATATATGTTATATATGGTCATTGTTGATGTTATTTTGAATAGAAAATATATGTTTCAATTTTACAGTAGTAAAAACATTTAATTATCATATCTTAATGCAACATTTAATATAATTTCACTTTGTCAATAATATTCACAGCATTTCAACTTTTACAAATTTAATAATATAATATTAAACATGTCTTCAAATTTTATGATTGCATAGTATAATTTATTACAATTTCTGAATTCTTTTCTTTGACATGACAGTCATTTTATGACTGTTTTATGCCAAGTTGAATATCATATGAAAATAAACATTTTTGACATGTAATAATTAGTTACATGTAAAGTCAGTAGCTACCTCTAGATTTTGATTGAGCTATGAAATTTTATCTTTTTTTCCCTTTTATTTATACCCCACTATTAATTTCTCATATCCAAACATGTTATTAAGTAGAGATTATATATGAATCTAATTTCCTGTTATAGTAACATATTTTTGTAACAGATAATCATGTCAGTGTTATTTTTTACCTGCAGAAATATTTTTATATTATTTAAGAAAAAGAAATGACAAAATAATTTCCCACTGTACTTATGTTGCTTTTAAGTAAACTCAGGAGAAGTAGTGTGGTATCTAAGGGCACATGTTTATGTTACCTCACTGTGTGCACAAGGTAATTCTTTGGGTGTGTTATTGGTGCATATATTTTAGAGCTACAGAGTTGTTTATTTTTAAGTTTGTTTCATTCAGATGTGTCTTTTTCACATCAATTTTGTGAATAAATACAGTATATATCTGTAGCTGTTAGTAAGCTCTTGATTTATCAGTATTTACAACTGATGAATATTTTATGTTTGTAAGTAGGGTTTATATTTCTGATTTTTAGAATAAACAAGGCATGTCCTTTGAGATTACATAACCCATCTACTTAAACAATATTCTTGTATTAACTGGAGTCTTAAAAATTGGCAAGTGACCAGTAAAGCGATTTTCTTGGTGTGCATTGGCAGTTTCCCCCATTTATGCCCAGCTCATTCAGTACTTCAAGTAGAACATTAGCTTGTAGCTATTTGATAAACCAGAGTTTTAAAAAGATATAAATAACAGTTTCCCTTCACTAAGTGCCTGTGTCTATTAGTGACACCAAACAAATGATGGCACTTCTTTAGAAGAAATACAATTTCCCTCTGATAAGCTGGTAGCATGAGGTATGTTGTTATATAGTGCCATCCATGACTCAGTCCACCACAGCCATTGCATGATTCATGTCATCCACGACCAAAGGGTTAAAACTTTCTTCATTCATTACTTCTTTTTAGGAAATACATCTTGCTAATCCAGTTTACTATTACATTATCATTATAATTTAAAGACAAGATGGAAAAAATGGCAAGTATAATGCAAATGCTTGGTTACTTATCGTAGAAACTTCTAAATCTTTTTATACTTATCTTAATTTACAATTTGCATTTGTTGTTATAAGTACCAGCTCTGTAAAAAGTGCCTTATAACCTTCAATAAATTACATGTTCTAGCATATCTTTCCTAATGAGAAGTGATGCTAGAGCATATAGTCCTTGTTGGAAGTGATGCTATTACAAGCAATAAACTATATGCACAAGTGATGTAGGAATATGTAAACAATGTAAACTGATGGCACTTTGTTATGCCTGTGTAGTCTTCTACAGAATTATACATGTAGCACTGGGAGTGATTTAACCAAATCAAAATATTTGTTTAATTTTATAGTATATTTCATATTATTGTAAAGCTAAATATGAAGATAAAATGGTTTGATAATTTGGTTAAAAGCGTTATATCATTTAAATATTCGTATACATATTGTTCAAACCAAAAAAGTTAATATAAATGTTATGTAGGGTATTTTCTTTGTTCGTTGTTGACTTTCCTCATCTTACGAAGTTCATATTTAACACTAAATTATGACAGGAAATACTGTGGCAGATATTTTGGGTATATATAATTTCTGTAATTTTTAAAGTTGTCTCATTAAGGTGAGTAATTAAGGTATAGGTAGTTTCTCATAACCAGATACATTAGTTAAACAACTAAACAATAACCTTTTTTTAAGAGTGAATCAGTCTGAAGTATAAATTTTCATACTAGTAATCTGTCTCTAGTTCCAGGGTTTATCAGTTTTATGAACATGTGAAGCACTAAGCTACTTGATGTGGTATTGATGTGTTAACAGTTAACCACCTGCTTCGGTCCTGCGAGTTTAGTATATCTTCTCAACAAATATTCAGTTTTGAATTTACCTTCCTCACCACTTAAATAATAATTGATTCATAAGTTGACTCTAGTCAGTTCTCTTATTAATAAAAAAAATGCATTGTGCTTGTTTAGTGTTACTGGTTTCACAATATTTGTATCATGATTTTTTCTATCAATAGTCTCATTCATCAGCCTGAGAGTGATATATAACCCAGATGTTATTTATTGTTCTCCGACACTGGAAATTTTGAAGGGCATATGAAATATACATTCTCAACTTCATATATTAACTTTATTTGGTGGTCTGAGTGAAGTACAATTATATTTAGGGATTATTTTTAAAAAATATATGAAGAACTCACCTTGCACAAAATACAAGTAGTATCTCTCAAAAAGAAATTATAAATATATAATTTGTCTGAATTTCTAAGTAAAATAGACTAGTTATCTTTCTTGGAAGTGTAAACCACTGGCTATATCTTGTTATCTTGTTAACCAGCAATTAGCAATATAAATTTGCTGTTCAAATGTGAACAATAAAATAATATCTACATATTTTGCAACAGTAAGAGTGTATAAAATTAAAAACATCAAAATACTAAACCTACGCCATTTTATTTCAATAAAAAATAATACCTATAAAATAAAATAAAATGATAAAACACATATCACATTTCGACTAGATGAACCAGGTTACTGTCATGGCAGTGTAAGACAATTATTTTTTTATTTATGTGATACCAGTATAGCTCTAAGAGTAATATATATTTGAAAAATCTATAAGATTTCACTATCATCATGTAAATGTCTATATTTCATACAGGATGATCAAGTTCATCATTATGAAAACAGTAACACAATTTTAGGTGCCAAACTATAGTTGCAACTGAAGAAAACAGGGGATCTCCTAGTATCTTCTCTGCCAATGCTCTCTGGTCTTCCCAGCCCTCCCAAGAGTTTGTCTTGACCAAACTTATCACTTCTGCTGCTTGGCCCTGAAGAAAAAAGAATTGACATTTTTAAAAATTTTGGACAGGGGGTAAAAAGAGAAGACTAAAGATTTTGCTTAAAAAAAAAAAAAAAAAAAAAAAAAAAAAAAAAAAAAAAAAAAAATATATATATATATATATTATATATATTATATATATATATATATATATATATATATATATATATATAAATTGGTGTAAAACTTATCAAGTGTTTATATCAACTAGTAATGTAAACAGTTTTAAAGATATGGTATATACTATCTATAAATTACTAACAACCATTCCCTCCTTTCAACTTTTTTTTTTTTTTTTTGTTATTCCCTTCTCTACACCAGTTGTGCTCTCTTTTCAGTGTACAGTTATCTTGTCAAGATCTATTTTATTAATTAATTTAGCTAAGCAGAAAATAAAATATTTTACTGAAAAAAACAAATACATTTTAAAAGCTATTTTTACATGTTTTATGTTTTAAATATTGGCTGGATATTACATACCTTCCCCACTTTATTTTTAAGTGCATCTTCCAAAATACCAATTCTTGATTCCAATCCATCCTTTGGCATTGTAATCTGTGGATCTTGTACACAGTTTTCACTGAAGTTTTCTACACCATCATCACTTAGTGTTGTGTCCAGGATGTTTACAAAGTCAGTAACTTCCTGGAACTTTAAGGACACTGGTACACCCTGAATTAATGGGTTATCTAAACCTGCTTCAGAAACTGTATCACCCGTTATACAAGCATCAATACTAGCTTTTGCTTTTACTTCTTTTTCTGTTACATATTCACAATCAAAGATATTCTCTGTGCTTCTACTACTGTTCATCTTCATTTCTTCACATGCAATATCTAAGTCTTTTTCCTGAAGTCTTCTTTGCCTTCTCCTCTCCCTGGCAGAGAAGGCAGAGGAAGCTGATGGACTGCATTCAGCTGTGACAGCAGAAGATATATCAGGTAGAAAAGAATCTCCAGCAACATCCAATGTTTCTTGATTTGTACTTGAATCTGGAATAACTGAGTTCTTATTGTGATGGCGACGTCTGCGTGATTTTGAACCCTGGCCTGCAGATGGCATTTCCTTATTCCCTTGTCTTTTGCACTGGCACTCCTTGACTCCACTTGGCTTGGATTCAACTTTTGATCTGCTTTCCAACTTCATCTTATCACCAGAGATCTGCAGAGACTCAAATTCAGGAAATATTTCACAACATCTTCTGGCACCAAGGTTGGGTCTAATCACTTCTTCCTTCATTTTCTCTTCATTTAATTTTCCTGCCAAGTACATACAACCAACAATCCTTCCTGTCTCATTTAAAGATGTATTCTCTTTCCTGGGATTTATCTGCATATTACAATCCTCCTCTGCCACCTTTCGAACCTCATCAGATTGTACAGGCTGCTTAGTGTCCTTAAGAAAGGCTGAAATATGGCCCTTCACAAATGGTCTGTGAAGGATTTGTGATGTGCTAGGTCTTACGTCTGATGTGCGATTAAGCATGTCAGAAATCAGGCACTGCAGATCTTCACTATATACTTTGGATATGCCTCCAATCTGTGGAAAATGATGAAATAGGAGCTTTTTCAACCAAAGAATGTAAACTGATCTATTGTTTGGGTGCAGCTCCAAACTCAATACTATCACAATATGAAAATAACATCAGCAAGTGTTAATAAAACATTCATAAATATCAGTCCTAAAAACCATCTAATAATATAAAACACACTTCTTTGATTTATTTTTCTTGCTTAGACAACAAAAATACTTTTTATCTAATGACTGCATTCTTATTGTTGACAACTGGAGAGTAAAATCGGTGACAGAAATACATAAGATAAATAAGAAGCATACAGGCACAAATTTTCATAAGTTTATCAATGACTAAGATATATGTTATGTGACATCTGTATCACATAACACATACCATATGTAGAATTCCAAGTCCAACTTAGAATCTACATGACCTTAAAGTATACTACTCACCTTGCCATGTGATATTTTGTAGATAAGACCCGACATGTCTCTTGCATGGAATGCATGTTTTAATGTCACAAGTTCATACAGACAACACCCTAAAGCCCATATGTCTGATTTATAGTTGTATGGAAGACCAGCAAACAGTTCAGGACTCTATGGAATAATGAGAAAAAGGCATACACGTAAGTATATCAGGACATACAATAAAGCCTTTATCTTTAACTAATAGGAGTAGAAATATAAATTTTATTTTTAAAAAATATGCTATTAGAACATAAAGAAGTAAGAAAATTACATGTTCATGTTTGTATGGCTAACCTATAACATCTGGATGGTAAGATTTATTACAAAGTAATATGCGAAGGATTTACCTTCCATTCTTCATACACTCACCATGTAATATGGAGTGCCAATCATAGTAGTTGCCATATCAATGGAAGACCCCAAGATTCGAGCAATACCAAAATCACCAAGTTTTATAAGACCTGAACGTGTAAGGAAAATGTTTTGAGTCTTCAGATCCCTGTGTAAAATGTTATGACCATGGAGGTACTGGAAAGGAAAAATGAAGATGTTGTTTAATATTAAAACAAAATTTACTTGCAACTCTTGACTTCCTGCAATATATTCATGTTATGCTGCATTGTCCATACCAGTAGTATTTCTCAAATGAACTTTTTTACAGTTTCTACATTTTACAATTTCTTGAATTACAGAAAACTTATTGAAGCTACACAAATTTTCTCTGAATTATTTTTTTTAACACAGGAAAAGATCCTGGCCTTAATACTTACCTGCAGTGCCATTGTTATCTGAATGAACCAACGGATAACGCGTTGCTCAGAAAATAACTTGCCATGTTGCTGTTTTATGCAAGTGAAAAGATCTCCTCCTTCACAGTATCCCATCAATAGATGCAATTGGTAACTGAGCTCAAATGAACCCTAAAAATAGAAGTAATATATTACAATTTTGCTAAAAAAAAATTGTGAGCTAAATTATTTAATGCTTGTTGGTCTTCTGTGAAAATGTCACAGCTCAGAAGCTCACTAGCAAACATGGTAAAACTTTATCCTGCAGGAGATACCAGAGACAATGCATGTATACCAAACAGCTCAATAGGCTGGTTTATTACTAGTAAAGCCAAACAGAGGATAGCCTAAGTCACTGCTAGCAGACTTCAGCCTTCACTAGTAGAAGAAGCTCCAGTTGACAAGCAAATGAACAATATTGGGACTGAAACTCTCTTTTGACTTTGTCTTTCATTGCTGTGTATATTTCCATCAATGTATGTATACTTGACATAAAAGGTGTTTTACTCCAAACTTAATGGGATATCGGCAAAGTTAAGGAGCTGATACTAGTAGTGAAAACTTATCCATGACTTTACAGGATCCTAGAGATTAAGGATCTTCTGGTATCTGGTTCCAGCGATATAACCCACATCACTGGGCTTGGCACAGCAAGGAGACCATTTCCTTGTCAATACCATTTGGAGGATACTTCATAATTGTTGGGTTTACCTGAATGCAGAATTCATTGATACCAGTTAGATATCACATCTACCCTTACCCCCCCTCCCCCATCCATCCAGATTTTGGAGGTTTGCCGACACTATCTTGGATTTTTTCATAGGACTCAACAACCTAACAGACCCTGCAGTGCTGTGGGACACCTTTAAATATGAATTATTTGACACAGCTCATAATTCCATTAGCAAACATGATAAAACTTTATCCTGCTGGAGACATCAGAGACAATGGATGCATACTACACAGCTCAATAGGCTGGTGACTGGAAGTTGCATCAGTTTCTAGTGTCTATGACTTAGACATTACTGAGGAGGTACAAGGAACAACATATAAAGAATCTTACTGAGGTCAAACACCATTTCTTAGAAAATAACCTGTATCCTACCTACCACTTAGGTAATCTCGAATCTGAAGGGTGGTAAAACAAACAGGCATTAGCAGCATCCCCACTGAACAGATGAAGTCTGATAGTGAACCCATGGCTTATGGATTGCATACTGTCAAATCATTACATTTAAATTTATGTTCCCAAATTTTAACAGGTACTGTGCAGAAAAGGTTTGAATTTAAATTGAGCATGCAGGGAATACATATAAATGGTTAGCTACACATAATGTAAATAAATCAATTACCTTGGCTATGGAAGCGAAACATGACTTCTCGGCTCATACAAATATAACAAACTAAATTCATTTTAATTTTAAATGCTATGCTACAGGAAATTCATATGATAATTGGGTCTTGCTAAGGCAATGAGATAACAATATCAACCTCTGGAGGTTACAACTTTCATCTCCTTTTATAAACACAATAATCAGTTACCTTATATGACACAATGTTCGGATGTTTTAAGCTTGCAAGGAGACGGACCTCTTGCCGTGCTGCTTCTGCCTCTTGCTGGTTGGAATGGGACAAGTCTACCTGAAATTGTTCAAAGGAAAACTCAACTATGTAAAATATCATTTAAATCACTGTTATATCCATAAAAAGATGCATTTACATATTAGCAGAGTTTTCTTCATATATGAAATTACATCAAAATGATCATAAATGTAAGAATTTAATATATGGGCTACATACAGATTTCAGAACCAAGTACTTCTGGTCACTTCGCTTCCTCACTAACCAGACGGTCCCATAGGTCCCGCGACCAATCTCACGAAGTACCTCTATGCCATCCATCTTGTGCATATTGAAAAATCCAAATCAAATCAGCATTTATCACCATTTATCATACAAAATATACTTGACTCTTCTTGATAAAATATGTCACTATGTGATAAGAACATTATGTTTGCTGTATATTGTAATTATGATTCATTTACTATGTTCTCATAGTTTTTTTTTCATATTTCTTATATAATTATAGGTTAAGCTTAAAATATTAATTATAGAATAATATATTAGATGATGCTCAATATATATATATATATATATATATATATATATATATATATTATATATATATATATATATTTATTTATATATTTATATTATAATATTATATATATATATTATATTTAATTTATATATATTATATTTATATATATATACATATATATATATATATATATAATATATA